GAGAGAGAGAGAGAGAGAGAGAGAGAGAGAGAGAGAGAGAGAGAGAGAGAGAGAGAGAGAGAGAGAGAGAGAGAGATTGTGCTTCTCATCGAATTTGTCACCCACGCACAGGTGCAGGCACAGACGAGCTCAAGCGCGCGCGCTAGAGAGATAGAGAGATAGATAGATAGATAGATAGATAGATAGATAGATAGAGAGAGAGAGAGAGAGAGAGAGAGAGAGAGAGAGAGAAGGAAATGACAGGGGAAAGTAAGATGCTTTACCGGTTCATCTGATTTGTTCTGGACTGGTTTCTTGGTCAATTCATCGATTGATTGACTGATTGATTGATTGATTGGTGATTAGATGCGTAATCGGTCGCGGCGATTGATCAGTCGATTGGTCGATTAATCGGTTGAGAGGTAATGTTGATTGGTCGAGAGGTAAAAGTCCATAGGTTGGGATGCAAATTTGAGTGGTGGATAAGTGAAGTTGATTTTGTCTTTGTCGAATTGGTCAGTATTTGCGGGAAGATCGTCGATTGCGAAGTTCAATTAAGTTCAAGAATTTTTTTTTTTTTTGTCCGTCCGTAATGGAGACAAATAAGCCTACGCATGGATACCTCTACCCCTAGTCTCGCACTTTCTGGTACGAATCTGGTCTGAAATGAGGTCATATGCATGCCGAAAAGGCAGTTCGGATGTGAACATGTATGTATCTTCAGAGATCGATGACTCCATTGTTCTTTTTGTTGTCCTGTTTGTATATTTGATGTAGAGCTCGTGACCGATTTGCGCTTCTTTTTTTTTTTTTTTTCGCGCTTATTTTTATCGGGCTTGTTTTTTTTTCCCGCTGTTCTTTTCGCTTACGTAACCTAACTAACGGTGAACTGCCTCGCACTGTAATATCGCAGTGACGGAAAGAAAACGGCGTCAAGCGGCGGAAGAACGGCGGAAGAACGGTGGAAAACGACGGAAAACGGCGGAAGAACAGAAGCAAATTGGTGAAAGAACGGAAGGAAAACGGTAATATCTCAGTAGCGGAAAGAAGCTGCATCAAGCGGCGGAAGAGAGGCGGAAAACGGCGGAAGAACACAAGTAAGAACGGTCGAAAAACGGCGGAAGAACGGAAAGAAAACGGCGGAGGAAAGGAAAATAAACGGCGGAAGAACAGGAGGGGACGGTAAAATTAGCGTATTTTTGTTTTTCCCGAGTTCGATTGGTTGCACGGCGGCGCTCGTGTTTTTTTCTGAGGGCGCGAAAGGAGTAATTAGTCAATCCGAGAATGGAAATGGAAAGGGAAAGTAACAGTGATTTCGATCAGCAGTAAGAAGAGTTCTGTTTCTGACAGGAAGGAGATCGCTGGGACTTGTTGTGCTTCTGGGTTCGTTCTCTGCCTCCCTCTCCCTTCACTCGTCCTCGCTCGCAGCGTCCTTCACCCTCTCCTCCTTCCTTGTCCTACTATCTCTCTGGCTGCTCTTCCTCCTTCCCCTCCGCCATCTCCCTTCCCTTAGGCGCTTTCTTTTCGCCCTGTGTCTCTATTCCTGTTTCAACCGACTCCTCCTCCTCCTCCTCCTCCTTCGCCCCTTTCATCTCCTCCTTAGGCGCTTTCGCCTTCTGTCTACTCGCAACCTTCTGTTTCCTTCTCTCCATTTTCCTCTCACCCTCCTCCTCCTCCTCCTCCTCCTCCTCCTCCCCCTACTCCTCCTTCCCTCCTGTCCTCCTTCTTCTTGGTACCTGCAACTGCTGCTTCCGCCCGTCTTTTCCCTCCCTCTCCCTCCTCCTCCTCCTCCTCCTCCTCCTCCTCCTTTATCTCCCTCTCACAGCTCTTCTCCTCTGCGCCTTCATTCCTCCTGCGGTTTGCACATCATCAGCGTTGTCGTGGGTGACCTCATCAGGTTGCGAGAGGCGCAAAATATCGAGTATGATTGATGTAGAGGACGCCATGCGCGCGCGGAGAATGAGCGGAGCCATGGCGGGACCAGCAGGCGGAGCGGTGGCGGGGGGAGTATTTAACCTGAGCCTGGCAGGGGGAAGGTTACCCTTACAGCACAGGGCATTGGGAGCGGGGCTCGTGATGTCAAAGGGAGCGGGAAATGGGGCGATGTACGGAGCCATCACCGGCGTAGGTGGTGGAGGTGAGAGAGGGGTTGAGCTCGACGGACCCTTGTCTTCGGCTACCACGTTTGGCAACGGCAAAGGGTTCCTTCCCGGTGTCCCCGGGGCCACGCTCATGACTGGGAAGCCCTGTTTTGACATCCAATTAGACGATGCAGAGTCGTTTTGGGACATGTCGCTGCTCAGAACTTATCCTGAATACAATGATGATGGTGGGATCGATCGTGAGGATGGTAGGCAATACGAGGAGGAGAACGGGGGGAGGGGGTGGGGGGGAGCGGGGGGGGGGGGGGAGGTGGATAGGATGAGAATCGGATCGCGGGGCTCGGCAGTAGGGTCTAGCGGAGGGATGGGACAGAGGAGATCGGGTCGGGATTCGGACATCTTTGTGTCTTGCTCCTCTGAGTTAGGCGAAGAAGGGGGGTTGGGTAGCTTCGGCGTGGAGGTGCCAGATTTAGGACCTCTGTACGACGCGTTGTCAGACTCGCCGCTGTGTTCGCCTCCGTCGCAGGAGTTCCTGGATGACGTGGACATGGCAATGCGGAATGGGAGGGGAGGGGGAGGAAGGGGAGGAGGAGGAAGGGGAGGAGGAACAGTAGGGGGAGGGGGAGGAGGAGGAGGAGGAGGAGGAGGAGGAGGGGTTCCGAATAAAACGGGCTCGATTATGACCACAAGTTTTCCCGGGTCGTTTTTCAGCTTGTTAAGTAGTAATAAGAATAGGAATCAAGGTGGGGGAAGGGGGGGGGGAGTAGGAGAAGGAGGAGGAGGAGGAGGTAACCAGCGGCACTCTCCCAATCAATCGGTGGGATCATCGTCGGTACAGAGCTCGGTACAGAGCTCAGGTAGTCGTAGCAGCCCGAGGCAAAGCTCTCGAGACTCCGACGAGGATGATGACGATGATGAAGACGACGATGACGATGCACATCTGGAGAAGAAGAAACCGACAGCAGGAGGCAAACCGACCAAACCCTTGGATAGATATGGTTTCTTGAAGAATTCTTGCGAAGCTTCCGTCACCGATTTCAAGCGGCCGAAGAGCAATCTAGATCGCGAGAGGTAAATAATCAAAGACATCACACTGACGCAATTTCGCTCTCTCTCTCTCTCTCTGTCTCTCTTTCGCTCTCTTTCGCTCTCTTTCGCTCTGTTTGTCTGTTTGTCTGTCTTGTCTGTCTCTCTCTCTTTGTCTCTGTCTGACTTTGTATGTCCGTGTCTGTGCCTCTCTCTCTCTCTCTCTGTCTCTCTCTTCTTGCTGACTTTTTTTTTTTTTTTTTTACAACTGTTTCATTGTATACATCTAGGTACATCACGATTCGCACTCGGGTCTGCATCTCAAGAGTTCATGGGTGTACCAACTGAGCTCGGCTCTCGTTGCCTCATTACTGTACTTGGAATGAGCTAAGAAACTGTCTGTCTGTCTCTGTCTGTCAGTCTGTCTGTGCCTCTCTCCCCATTCTCGCTGGCTAATTAGTTGGTCTAGGGGGAATGAACCTAGGAAACTGGGTACGAAATCTTTGTATTATAATTACTAGTTTCACCTCTGTAAGTACTCACGCAATTACGGAAGTAGTGACTCCGTAATTGCGCAGCAATGACCGAGTATTTATTTTTTATATTGTAGTTGTAACTTTTTTTCAGCCAAATCAGTATTTCCTGCTATCCCTTGCTGTTTATTACTGTATGTTACAGTATATTAACCTCAAGATCATGGTTTTTTTTTCTTTTTTTTTTTCTTCAGGCCTGGTGCCGCAGACCAGGATCATATTTTTTCGTTTTGCACGATATCGCGAATAGCAATCATGTTTTGAGAAGTGTCATATAACCCAAGCCGGTCGATAAAAGGCCGGTGAATCGTTGATTAAGTACTGCCGTTCCACGCCTGTCAGACCTATAGTCATCATTACCGCCACTCTGTCGTGAGTGATTAATTGACGATGATCGGGTTGATTGATTGGTGGATGAATTGATTGATTGGGTGGCTGGTTGGTTGGATGATTGATTGATTGTTGGTCTGATTAATTAATTGGTACATTGATTAATTGATTGTTTGGTTAATTGGTTGATTAATCAATTGAATGGACTGTCCACTGGTAGTATAGTTCATTGATTAGTCGAAGTGCAACAGGTGCACGTATGGAATGACGTGATAGGTGGAGGGGAGAGAGAGAGAGAGAGGGAGGGAGGAAGATGAAACAGGGCAGGCAGGTTATAAGCAGAGGTAAGGGAACATTTGGGTTTTGCCCTTATTTGCCTCTATAGTTTGCGTTTTGCCTTGTAGTTCGTGATGATTTTTGCGTATGTCCACTCTGACATAAGGGGAAATTTGCGTTCTGCCCGTACAGTTTCGATAGTTTCCAGGCCAATCCTTTTCATTTCTGATATGTGCGGCACACGCTTCTCTGCCGCCGGTTCAAATTTGCGCAATCATATTCGCGCGATATTGAAATTTGCAAAATTGCCCCTGTAAAAAATTTAACAATTTAAAGACATCGTTTTAATTTGAGGCCTCGCCGCACCATTCACTCACCAAATATGGCCGGTGCATCTTTCCACAATCTGGGGGAAGATACGTTCCCCATGTCGCACACCTGTATGCCAAGGCCCGAAATCTTTGAAGCCCAGTGCAAAGGTCAGCTCATGTCTAGTTTCCACGGAGAATTACTGTATTAAAAAAAAAAAAAATCCCGTCTCCTTGTCGCTGCAGTTCCACTTTCTCGGATGTACCGGAATTCTTTTTTGTGAGGGGGAAAAAAAAAAAAGTATCTACGTGTGCATATTTGTTTTCCTTTTTTTAAAAAAAATATTTTCGAAATTTTTAACTTGATGTGGGTAGTACATTATAGAGGATACCCAATATAAGAAATTACAGGGGTGGGGTGCAAATTATCGCTAATGATAGGGGTGTATCGATATATACAACACAATATATAACCGTGCAAGCCCTGGGGGCGTAGGGCATGGGCAAAAGGGTGCGCCGCAATGTCAGAAATTAAAGAGGGGGGGAAGTGGGGGTGTCCGCCGGGGAGCGACAGAAGGGAGGAGAAAAGAAAAAGGGATTGGATGTTTCTTTAAAAGATAAAAAAAAAGAATTTATTTTTGGTGCAAATTCGTTTGTATTTGTTATTGTTCTTAATTTTCTTTATTTATATTTTCTTATTTTCTTTATATTTCTTTATATTTTCTTATTTTATTTATTGTCAATGATGTAGCTAGAGTGGTAGCGCGCTGCGTAGCGACCACGTGAACACGCCGTGGGCTTAGGGCATCATTCGCCTGGATGAACCTGGATGGAATTACATTCAAAGTTAACCGAGAAGTCGTAATCAGAGTATGCGTCCTTTAGCCCGTCTGCTTTATTTTTTTTTTTCCGCCCCTCCTTTGCCATAATAATGATTAATTTCTCTATTCAATATTATTACTTTCTTGTCGTTTTTCGTGTATTTCGTACTATTTCCTTTTGCTCCCTTTTAATTGCACATATGTATTTTGTTTGACGACATATATTTGGGTTACCTGTTGGGTACGGATTTCTATCAAATGCCAATTAAATATTAATTTTTGTAGGCCAATTGAAAATTACAGTAATTGCTATGTTTTTTTTTTTTTTTTTTTTTTTGGTATCTTTTTGAAAGGGCGAGCTTGTGTGGGTATCTAACAAGTCACTCGTTTTATTTATTATTATTTTTTTTTAATTTTTTTTTTTTTTTTTTTTTAATTTATTAACATAGCCACAAGAGAGGGGACGGGTTCCTCATAGTCTACCCGCAATAGAAAACCGTAGTACTACCAGCTGACCTAGCTTAGTTGGTATACCACTGGACTGTCGAAATACAGACCAGTGGAGCTCGAACGGTTCAGTGGTGTACCAACTAAGCTAGGTCAGTTGGTACTACAGTCTTCCCCCGAATACAACGTACGGTCATTATAGCTGAATTTAGACTGACTGGTCCACCAGATTCAGCTATAATGCCAGTACGTTGTATTCGGGGGAAGACTGTAGCGTAGTTTACTCGACTGCTTCCAATGGAGTTCGAACTGTTTTTTTTTTTTTTTTTTTTTTTTTTTTTTTTTGGCCTAGCTTAGTTTACTTACTCATCTGCTTCCAGTGGAGTTCGATTTTTTTTTTTAAATTTATTTATTAACATAAGGAATCTCCATTGGACAAGAGTTGGAACTCCATCGGAAGCCGATGAGTAAAAAAATATTACAATTATTCCTAGGCTACCAGCCGGGCCGCCCGGGTCCCGTGTGGCCAGCCCGTGCAAGGACCAGGGAAGGTCCCAGCGAAAAAAAAAAAAAAAAAA